GGTTCAAAACCACTGGCTTCTGCCTCACGATTGCCTCATTTTGCAGCCAAAAAATAATTGTTCAGTGGATGTAGAAATGGATGGGGAGATACCGGGTTTTTCTTACTTGAAGCAGAAGGTTGGTGATGCAGGGACCCGGATCTGCAAACTGAGCCCCCTCAGTTTAGAGTCAGCATAGAACAGTTTGGATTTGAAGGGAGCTTAAAGCTCCTCCAGCTCCAACCCCTGCCCCGGGCAGGGACACCTTCCACTAGGGCAGGTTGCTCCAAGCCCCTGTGTCCAACCTGCCCTTGAACACTGCCAGGGATGGGGCAGCCACAGCTTCTCTGGGCACCCTGTGCCAGCGCCTCAGCACCCTCACAGGGAAGAGCTTCTGCCTCAGAGCTCATCTCAGTCTCCCCTCTGGCAGGTTCAAGCCATTCCCCTTGTCCTGTTGCTCCAGTCCCTGATGAAGGTCCCTCTCCAGCACCCTTGTAGCCCCCTGCAGACACTGGGAGCTGCTGTGAGGTCTCTGCTGCAGGGCGGATTGAATTTCAGGAGGTGACTGAAGTCATACCCATGTTCTCTGGTAGTAACAGCAGCAGAATCATCTTCAGATGCAAGAGATAGTATGTTTATAGAGTCATAACAGGACGTCAGGGGAAAAGTGTAGGCTTCTCCTGCGTGGAGGTATCAGTGATAGACATTCTCAGCCACAGACAAAGGCTGGCCTCTGCGTATCCTCTTATATGCCTGAGGTGGGCTAAATCTGTCAAAGGATTGAGATGTCTCCCTGCGTACATGATCTTGTAGTGGTGTATTTCTCACCTGCAGTAATGCAGATCATAACTCAACTCTGACCATTATGTAAACCCAAGGGTTTATACACAGGAATGAGCCTTTTTATCCCCGTTTCCAGAGTGTTCTCCAGTCAGGGAGTGATTGACACGTGTCTTGGATTCCTGTCCTGAGCTGTCTGTTGGGCTGCAGAATCTAAAGTGGACATTGTTGATACAAGGGTGGGCAATGGTGACAGAGCACCCGTGACTTCTGCAGAACTCACCAGTGCATCTTGCCTTGCCTTCTCCTTTCTTCTTTCTACGTGTGATCTTCACCTCGTTTTTCTCAAAGAAAAGGCAAGCAGAAGGAAAGCAGCTCCTCACTTGATGACAGTCTGTCCCTTGAAGTGCCAGATACTTTGTTCTGCTCTCCAATCATGGTGATAGTGAAAAGGAAGGTCCTGAAGCAGTTCAGCTGCAACCTTTCCTCAGCTGCAACCTTCTGTGCTGTCACCTTCCTGGCTCCCCTCAAAGAATGACTGGCCACAACCACCTGTGTCTCTCCTTGCCCTCAGTGTCTCTCCAGAAACTTTCCCCAGGAAACCCACAGCAGAGGTAGCAGTAGGATGTTGATGTGCATTGTGAGCCTAATCACCTCATTCTTACTCCTACTATTGTCTAGAAGCATTGTCTACCTGAGCCTTTGCTCCTCACCCAGTAAAGCAGCATCCAGAGCAAAAGGAATTCCTTTTCCTTCACTCCTCAAGTCCCTTTTGGGCTATTGCCCTCCTAGGGCCTTCCACAGCCCAGTCTCCTCAACCAAGCTTGGGAGTGGCCACCCACCCCTTCTGCAGCATGTGCACCAAGCCCAAGAGGGCATTTTTGGGCAGAGGCTCAACAAAGCTGGGCCTGATGGCCAGAGACTCTGGAGCAGTCATGGATGCCTTCCTCACCTGCAAGTGACACTGCCTGAAGAGGGCCCACTACACAGTGTCCAACTTTCCCCTCCCCTGGGGAGGTGAAGGCTCTACATGTGCCCCCCCGCCAACTAATAACCGCAGAGAAACACCCACCCTCCTGACTGTAGGTGTCTGGAGTGTCAACAGAGGGAAGGACCATGCAATGACAGGTAATAATCATTCTGTTAACAAGTACGGCACAACCGTCCCCAAAAACTCCCTTCCAGAACCAGCCCTGAGAACATGCATCAGCCCTGGCCATCCTGGGAGACAGTTTGTAGGGCAAAGGATGACAGAGGCATGGGTTGGGATGCAACAGATCTTTAATGAGGCAAAAACGGGAAACAAGGACACTGTGAGTGGAGATCCTCGTGCAGGGAGCATCAGGGGCAGAAAGGAGTCTGCTCCCCATGGCTGTGGTGAAGAAAGAGAGTGGCAGAGGGGAAAAACAGCATGGTCTGTGCTGTGCGAGAGCCCAGGCTGGCCCCGTCCTTGTGCAAGGGGTGCTGGGGTTGCTCAGCTGCTCTGGAAGCAACAGCTCAACGCTTCGTCCCCAGTGCAGTGCCATCTTCTGGGTCCCTGGGGCCTTCCCCAGGGCCACAGTAGCGCCCGCCCAAGCCAGAGAGGCCCAAGCCGGAGAGGCCAAAGCCCCCGGAGTTGATGGGCACTCCCTCGGAGCTGAGGATGCTGCCAACGGCAGCGGAGGTGGAGGAGCCCACGGCGGTGTTCTGCGGGAAGGAGGTGAGGATGGGGCCGGGCAGGGTCACCACCACGGGGGAGGGCTGGATGGCAACGATGGAGTCCTGGCACTGCCTGACACAGGGCTCATTGCAGCTGTTGGCCAGCGGGGTCGGGCCGCAGGGCTGGCAGGGCACGCACGGGCTGTAGCAGGACATGTCTGGATGGTAGAGCTTCGCCTGGAGACAGGGCAGGAGCAAGCAGAGCAGGGAGATGGGTCAGGAGCAGCCTCTCACACCACCATGAGTAAGCCAAAGCAAGCCAAACTTGAGACAAGAGCTGGAGGTGTTGTAGGGAGACCCATAGACTTCAACTTCCCCTCAGCCCAAAAGTGCCCCATCAAAAGTGGCCAAGCCCATAGGGATCCCCACCTAGCCCATAGCTCGGAAGGCACATCAGCCAAGACCTAGCCCTTTCTGTGCTAGACCTTCTTCCTCCTTCCTACTTCTATGGCAAGGACCTCCAAGTCCTGCCGTGGCATGATGGAGCAGTCATCTGCAGATGTGTCCATTGGTCTGAGATCTCAGCCTGGGGAAGGATGGGAAGCAGAAAGGGCTGTAGACTCACCTGGTTCCCAAGGAGAGCAGGGCCAGAGAAGTGGATGAGAGAACAAGGCTTTGGGGTTACTTTTATACTGCTCCTGCACTGCCCCAGGCCCTGAGGCTGCCTCTGCTCAAGCAGTAATTTTCCAACAGACTCATCTTTAATGGAAAGTATTCTTCCTAATCATACAGCTTGCAGTTTGGTTTCCTTCTTTGACTCCTCTTCATTTCCTCATTTCTGACATGCCCTTTGTGCCAGAGACGCTCTACCAAATGGTGGAATGAGAAGGTCAAGCACTTCCAGGGCAGGAATTCAGCAGTGCTGAAGACATCCCATGCAGTCAGGGGACACCAGCATGGGCTACCTTGGTGGGCAACACTTTTTTTCAGTAAGGGTCACAGGTACTCCAAGTGTTGCAGTCCCCAGTTGTATACCCACAGGTTCCCATGCAGAAGGACTTGCTCTGTCCCGCTCTCTCCCTCTATCCCAGCTCACTCTGACAGTCAGTTCAGACTGACAGCTCAATCCTCAGGCTGGAGCTTCTGGTTTCAGCCCTTTCTCCTTATATTGCTTAGTTTGAGGAGAAATTTCCCCCCTTTCTTGGTCTTCTCTACTCTAGGTGTGCAGCCCAGCCGGGCACATCTAAGTGGCTGTAGCACCAGAAGTCACAGAATGCCCACTTCCATATCTCAGGGACTGGCTAAAACACCTTGGGAATGGAATCAGCACAGTGAGAGCCTGCCTCTTGGAGCCTCTCAGCATCCCAGAGCCAATGCTTCTTAGCTGTGCCAAGGTGTGTGCAGAAATGTGGCCAGGGGTGTTGAGGGGCCATGGAGGAATGGGGTAAGAGGGGATGCAGTCACAGGCAGAGAATTTGTCTCTGCTGTTGCACACTCCATTCCCATCAGGAAGCACCACTGTGCAGTGATGAGAGAGATGGAAAAGCCTGGCTGGAAGAAAGGAAGCAAGTTAGAGAGGAACAGCCCAAAGTGAAATGCGAAGAAGTTTCTTGCAGAAGCAGTTCTCAATAGAGAGAACCTTTCCCCTCTCCTGTAGCGCCTTTTCTTTTCACTGATAACAGTCTCTGAGGAGAAGAGTTCTTGTCCTGACACTCCTCATATGGTAGCAGCAGCATTTGGCGAGTGTGGCCATGAATCAGACAATCCTTCCAGGCAGTTCCTGGCGGAATAGGACTTCAGTGTGGGACACAGAAGCTCTGTGGGGTTGAAGACCAAATGAGTTGTCAGCTATTTGGCTCTCCCTTTGCAGCCTAGATTGACTGTCCTTCCTCTAAAGCACCAGGTCATCTGTCCTCGCGTTTGGTAGTGACTCAAGGTCTCTGCCCGACACACTGTCAGGTCAGTTAGCTGCAGAGGTGCCCATGGCTTTGACTTGAACATGAGGAGCCTGTGTCCCTTTACAGACACTGTTAATGCTGCAACAGAAGCAGGTTCACTCAGGAGTGCCCTTCATGAGGTGGGCAGGATTTTCTGGCTTTTCTCCCTCTACAGAAAGCTAACCCCATTCCTTTGAACTCCTTAACACTAGGAGGAGAAGATGTATCCTGACCTGGAGAGGCAGGGAGCGGTTACTGACAGTCGTGCTAAGACACTTTGAATGTTGGTACACTGATTTAAATTGTGTTTCCAAATTGGTGTGAAACTGCCTGTGTGAGGCTCTGAAATCTGCAGTAGCAGAGCAAGAGCTTTGAAGGAGCATGAAAAGGAGAGCTCAGGTGACAAGGTTTCAGTGTTAGCACCCAGGGCAAGTCTCCATCAGGTCCATGCCATTGCTGTTCAGCTGCCACTTGCCTCCTTTTGGCCTGTGGAACCTACTGCTCTGCAGTGTGCATGTACAGAGGAACAGAGAGTGCCCCTGGCATGACTAGCACATATCCTCATGAAGAAGACACATAGACAGGGAGATACAGGCATGTGGCCTTGCACACCTGTGTGCTTGTGCACACTTAAACATGCATATATACACGGATTTTAGGGAAAACAAATTCTTTTGATACGAAAATGAAATCAGACAATTGAGAAGACATACAAGCGTGCATATGTGTAAGTGAAGCTACACAGATGTTGTTTGTACATAGACTGGACAGAGAAATAACCCTAATATGCTGAAGGCATTGGTTGGAGACACCAAGAAATTGGTCAGAGAGTGGAAATGGCAAAACAGATGTCAGATTTGTCCCAAAAGCAAGATCATCAGGAGGAGGAGTTCCAAAATGAGCAATGGAGCCCACTCACCAGTGACCACTGAGGAATGCCAGACCCCTTATTTTGAACAGGGTGATGAACAACTCCACTGTATCTATATTCAGCAACTGGGTCAGGTCTTCAGCCCATAATGATGCATTCCTGACCTGAAAATCCTTGGGTCTCTCATCTCAGAGCTTGAAAGAACACTCAAAGGCAAATGGCCATGACATAAATCACAGTATGAAAGCACTGAACTCTGGACAGCCAAAAGATCATTGGCCACTGGCTTCGATGTCTTCAATTAGAGACTCTGGTGGAAAATTACTCCCTGTGTAGAGCATGACTACATGCCTGGGGTGATGCTGGAGCACTATAAAAGCCAGTGCAAATACCCAGTCCTACATCTGCTTCTCTCACCTCTCTATCCTGAAGGATCAGGTGAGTCTGAAGCTCTTTATCTTCCTTTCTCTCCTCCTCTGAGCACCATTCACATCCCCACCCAGCATCATGCCTGCAGTCCTTCATAATGGTGTGAAAGGCTGCTTCTGACCCATCTCCCTGCTCTGTTTGCCCCTGCCCTGTCTCCAGGTGAAGCTCTACCATCAAGACATGTCCTGCTACAGCCCGTGCGTGCCCTGCCAGCCCTGTGGCCCGACCCCGCTGGCCAACAGCTGCAATGAGCCCTGTGTCAGGCAGTGCCAGGACTCCATCGTTGCCATCCAGCCCTCCCCCGTGGTGGTGACCCTGCCCGGCCCCATCCTCAGCTCCTTCCCGCAGAACACCGCCGTGGGCTCCTCCACCTCCGCTGCCGTTGGCAGCATCCTCAGCTCCGAGGGAGTGCCCATCAACTCCGGGGGCTTTGGCCTCTCCCGCTTGGGCCTCCGGTGCCTCCCCTGCTAAAGCTGCTGGCGATGGCCCTGGGGAAGGCCCCAGGGACCCAGAAGATGGCACCACACTGGGGATGCCGACTCCTCTCTGCCTTTGCTCCCTGCACCACTCACAGTGTCTTTGTTTCCTTGTTTTGACTCATTAAAGTTCTGCTGCATCCCAACCCATGACTTCGTGTCATCCTTTTTCATGCAGATGCCAACACCCCAAGAAATGCATCTCCTCTGCAGGTTTGACCTTGCTTGATTTGATGGAAAATATACCTTTCAGAAGAATCAGAATTATTCTTCAGCCTTTCTCAATCACTTTGGTTTTTTGCCCCACATGATGGGGTAACCAAACTGCAACTACACTGAGAGGAGGGAGAGGCATTGTGTTCAGAATTTCAGACAGGAAGATGTTCTCTCCACCACTGGTGTATCCAAATCCAGGCAATACATTGCTGCCAAGCTGTTAGAATACAACACTGGTTCATTCTGGACCACCTTTTTCACATGGCCCTTGTACACAGGGCATTCTCCAGTCCTTAAGAGGCCTCGTTGTCATCAGATGACCTCCATCACCACTAATCGTCTCAGATACTTTATGCCTCCCTAAGTGTTAGTCCACCTTCCTTGCTAAATCACACGATCTTGAACAGGTATCTTGCCCTCACACTTCACAGGACACACCTCCAGAGACTGCAGTTCATGGCTTCTTTTCCAAGTCCACTGTCAATTCTCTGGTCCCTAGTGAGAGATCCCAGCTGTTTGGCTTCCTTACCTTCCAGTTCCTGACTGTGGGCCCCACTCTCCAAACATCAGAATTGCCATACAGTGACCTGCTCACCAGGCTGGTGGCTGTAATGTTTCCACATGTCGTGAAGTTCTCTTGAGGTCAAGGATGAGGTGCAACCAAGGCCAGGTTGGACAGGGCTAGGAACAACCTGGTCTAGCAGAAGGTGTCCCTCCCCATGCCAGCGAGTTGGAACTGGATCCAAACCTTTCTATGATTTGATTCTGTACGTTCTGCCTCTTCAGTTATTTGTCTCACTTCATCCTCCCATTCCTTTGCTGAAGGGCTGCCTTACTGATCACACACTTCCCTCCTCACTTTACTAATCAATGATAATGACCCATTCACCTCATTGTCCACTATTTCTTTTTCATTACCAGAACAGTTACTGCAGGTAGTGTTCGGGCCCCTGTCCCAGCCATGGTGTCCTCGCCTGTGGTTTGGGTCTCTGCATCATCTACCATGTTCTTAGATGTAGTCTGGATCCTTGTCTGAATTGTGAGATCCCCAGAGGTCATTTGAGTCCCTGTTTTAGCCACGGCCCTCTCATATTAATGACTTGTGGCTCGATAGACACAGGTCAAGGCCGATACAATGCTAAAACTAGCTGGTTTTCAAGCAGCTGCCACCCAGGGACTGGCCACCTCAGGGCACATTTCACTGTCACCACACCCAAAAGTTGTCACCTCTTACGCCAGCATGACAGCAGTTTCCACAAACCCACATTAAGCCAACAGTTAATTAGTATTTTTAAAAACCTCACCTAAGAGTGAACAAGGACCTTGGAACCTGCTCAACAGAATGAGCCACATCAGTCTTGGATGGGAAGAGGGAGGTGTATGCTCTATTCTCTCATCCTCTCCACTGGACAGCTTCCCCAGCACAGTGAGGCCATCAATACCAGGGCAAAGCACAAAGCCTTTGGTCCTATCAACACTTTCCTGTCCTCAGCAGAATAAAGAGATGGGAAGTGCAGGAGTCACACAGAATCCTGTCAGTTAGAAACTACCTCAACAATAGCATGCTCAATCCAAAACTGCCAATGTCTCAAGCCCCACATTGAACACCAAAAAGACTGTGGTGAGTTGACCCTGTCTGTCCACCAGTTGCCCACCAAAGTGCTCTATCAATCCTCCTCCTCAGGGAGAAAGGGGGGAGAAAAATAACATAAAAACTTTTGGATCAAGATGAAGGCAGTTTAATGAAGAAAAGTAAAGTGTGTGAAAGGAGAGGAAAAACAAAAACTGTGTTGTCTATGAAGTATTTCCATCAGCAGGCGATGTTCAGCCAATCCTAGGAAGCAGGATCACAGTACAATTAGTGGTTACTTCGGAAGACAAAAACCTTAATAAGGAACTGAAGCACAAGCAAGAGACATAGAGGAGGTGGAAGGAGGGACAGGCCACTTTGGATGTTGTCAGAGTATACAGAAACACGATGGGGAAAGCCAAGGCCCATTTGGAATTATATCAAGCTGAGGATGTCAACAACAACAGGAAGGGCTTCTTCAAACAGATCAATTATAAGAAAATGTGGGCCCATTACTGAATGGAACAGGGACCCTCGTGACAGAGGACACAAAGAAGGAAGAGATAATGAATTCTGCCTTTTCTTCAGTCTCCAGCGTCAAAGCCAGCCCTCAGGAATCCCTGACCCAGAAGACCAGAGAGAAGGTCTGGAGAAAGGAAGTCCTTCCCTTCGTTTAGGAGGCTTGGTTAGAGACAAGGAGGTGGGACTAGATGACCTCTTGGTGGTTCCTTCCAGCCTCAACCCTTCTGTGAATGCTCCCCTGCCCCAAAATCTCCTCCTTCCTCTTAATATTTATTGCTAACCATGATGTCATATTGTATGGAAAATGTTCTTGGTCAGTTCTGGCTTTGTCCCCTCCCAACCTCTTGCTCACCCCAGCCTATAAGCATTTTGGAGAAGGAGCCAGAGAGGCAGCATTGGTGCTGTGCAAGCACTGCCCAGCGAAACCCAAAATGTTTGTGTGTTGTCAGCATCATTCCAGGTGCAATTACAAAGAACCAATAGGAGGGCTAATATGGGGACAACTCCATCCAGGTAGATCCTGCACAATGCTATTACAAATCACTACACAATTATCCCCTCCCAGAACCACCCCTGAGCAACAGCTCTCTCCCTGGGCATTCTGGGAGAGCATCTGCATGAAAAAGGATGACGAAGAGGCATGGGTTGGGATGCAGCAGGACTTTAATGAGGCAAAACAAGGAAACAAAGACACTGTGAGTGGAGATCCTGGTGCAGGGACCAAAGGCAGAAAGGAGTCAGCATCCCCAGCACGGT